TTTCTTTTATTTGGATAGGTGGTCAAAGTCCTGTAGGAAGCTCTCCATCTTATGGTCGTATCTTGACATCACATTACTATCTTCTTATTTCTGATTCTGTTCCTATTTCCTTCGCTTCACTTAGCAAAAGCATGCTTCCATGTACTCCCTACATTTCTTTCACCTCATATTCTTTCATTCATTCAAGCGACAGGAAATTATTCACTTCATTGTAGGTTTATAGGTTATCATTAGGTCATTAGGAATTATTTGCCAAAAAACACAGTTTTGTTTCACGGCATCCGGCCGAAAGCCGCCTTTTCTGGGAACCACCACGACCGTGATCTGGTGGCTATCAGCATCATATTGCAATCGAATACACCACAAGTGGCTTGGGCCGGACTCATACAGTGGTTCTGCGATTCGTCTTGCAAGATAATGACATACAGCTTTGTAGTTTCCACTCAGGGTCCAGCGGCAAAGCTCTGCATGACCGGACCATGCAGCCTTCGGCTTCAGTTTGGTGTTCGCATGTCAAAGGCTTTCAGTCTTCAAAGAAATGGGTAGGACTGTAGCTCTGAAGATTTAGGGTTTCAGGCTTAGGTCATCTCTGGTAAATTGAAGATGTTGGTAAGCAGTCTATGGTCCTCCGCTGTTATCAGGTGGAATGCCTCATCTGTTGCCTTGGGGAGTGCCTATGAAGCACAGCCAAGGCCGAGCGTCTCAACCGCCGAGCAAAGATCCCCAGGCCTTGTGCAAGCAGTGATGCCCATGCTCCTGTCCCGGGGGGGTGAGGCAACGAAAACAGGCACCTAGGAGGAGTTGTGTTGCGTCTTGAAGCCTCCACGGTGATTGAATGACCTGCTGTTGAACAGTCTGTGCCGATGCAGAAAGCAAGTTTTGGGAACATGCTCGTTGCTTACCACGTCCGGAGGACAGGACCTAAAGGCTGACGATGGTAGATGAAGTCTCCTGCACGGCCCGGAAGTCGCAGCCCACAGCTTTAAGCCTGGAAGTGGGGATACGCCGCTTGCACAGCTGAAGCAGCAGAGTCTGAGAGTTGCAAAAGCGAACAGGACCTGGAAGCGATGCATGCGATGCTAGCTGCTAGTGCAAACCGTTAGAGAGACTTTGTTGAATGCCGTGCATGCAAGACAACGACAACTCTTGACAAGAGGAGGCACGGGAAAGCAACTTGTGACCGTATGCAAGAATGTCTCAAGATCGAACGTTTTCGGCAAGTTGGGGGGGCTGTGGAATCCGATCTAAGTTTCGCTTGCAGTGACAAGGCCTGAAATGACTCTGTCCCTGGGAGCCCGTGCCAACGCGCCAAAGGGATTAGTGCTGCACCTTGCCTGGCTTCACAAGGCTGTTGTGGTACGTGTCTCGCTACTTCGACAGCCAGTGCTGTCTTGCCTGTTGCTATCGGTACCAACATGACGAACCACAGAATCTGGTTCGGTTCTGGTGATTATCAATGTCGCCGCTCGACCATTCCACTCAGACACATCGTCTACGTAGTGGATGTGTTGGTTCGTAGGGTTTGGAACAGCCTTGGGTTGTGGCCTTTCTGCGACTCTCATCTCGGCTTTTGCTTAGTTGAATTTTTGGGTCTAGGAATCGAGGCACAACTTTTAGATTCCAAAAGGAAGTCAGCTTGGGTCGGCTGGTGAACGGATCCTGGATCTAAGGCGTTTAGTTTGAGAGTCCCCTTTCTTCTTAGCAGCGGTGCTGCTGCCTCGCAGAGGGCATGTTGCAGCGGGCAAGTCGGCAACAGCTTTGCGAACAGACCCCTCAAGGACACTCTCTGAAACCCTTTCTCAAAGCTTCGATGGCGTGGCGGCTGGCCCGCCCTCTCCGCCGGTGCCTGCGGCAGACGGCATGAGTCTGATCAGACGGGTGCAGCCGACACACCATCCTACAGATCCATCATCGCCTCTCCTCCTCATCATCAAACATACGCACTCATGCACTCATGCAGAGCGCCCTCGCTCCTTCGCTCGGCATCCTCATCTTCATCATCCCCATCATGTTCACCTCCATCCCCAGCATCATCCCTTTCAAGACTCTTCTTCAGCGGTCAACAGAACCGTCATGCCCACAAGAACAGCAACAGGAACGGCAACAACAATGCTTTACCCTTGGCGCTGTCCACTTCGGTTGCAGCACGATCGCGTTTGCGTCGCGTTCGCTAGGCGTTCGCTTTAGAGCGGCACCAGAGCTTCCCCCTACACTTCGCCTGCGAGAGCCAATGTGCCACGGAGCAGCCGAAGCGGTTTCGTTGCAAAGCATCGGCTCCGGCCTTGCGACACGCATCGACCAAAAACCCCTTCTCTAAGCGAGACATAAAAAGCCTTGTAATTCGGTTGCGAGCTGCTGAGAAGCTTTTAAATCTTGCCGATGCGCCCAAAGCATGCTCGAGCCTCCTGCACAAACCACTGGCTCGTTGTCAGGTGGTTTTGCCAAACCTGTGCTACGATGCTGTCATATTATTTTCTCTTCAACGCAAAGCAGGGAACGTCAGCTTTTTACATGCTGTTCCTTTATGCAGTAGCATCAGCTGGCTCAGAGCAGTATCGTCTGGCCTAATCTGGTGAGGCTTGGATTCCCGAGCTTACTTCACAAAGCGGGCACCATTTGCCTGGCTTTTGGTAGTGTTGCTAGGAGAAACATTACTTGCACTAGCTTGTAGGCTGGTTGTTAAAAACCATGTGTGTCCTCTGAGAAGTTAATCGCGTCCTGCCCCAGTCATTCGGATCTGCATCCCAGCGGCTGCAAGCTGCAGTGGGGAGACCTTGAATCACGGCTGTATGCTTGAATGGCACATGGCGGTAGCAGCATGTCGGACCACGTCTTTCGCTCGGCTTCAAGGGGCAAATAGGGGAGAGGCTTGAACTATCTTGAACTGCAGTCCTTGCAGTCCTACGTCTTGGCATGCAGGATAGGGCATGTCTGTTGAAGGTGACTTGAATGATGGTGTCTTATTTGAGACGAGACAGACAACGACAGAAAGGCATTTGCATGCTTCTTCGGAGCGAGGGGCTCCAAGCTCAGCCCTGGCCTTGACGATGGGGATTCTTGGGGTGAGGGGCTGCGTTGCGGTCAACTTCTTGACCCTTGACCATATGTGCAAAGCTTGACTCGACGAGGCTTGCCTCGTCGCGTGCTGGACGTTGGGCATCACATCGGGCTTCAAGGAGCCACTGGCAAACCTTGGTGGAGGTGGCGCTTGTTCCGGGCATCAGAAGCATTCGGTTCGGAGCTCAAGGGCTGCAAGAGCAGCGTACATTACGAGCAATGCATCAGAAAACAATGCACTATACAGCGAGGAAGGTGAGGGTGGCCAAGTTGGGGGGGTCCCACGGTCAATGTAACTATTTACAAAATCATCCCACTCTGATTCAAGAGGGATTTGAAAACGACAGCTCCGCATGCTGCTGAAGAGCGAGCTCTGGTGGCGGACGCCGACGATGATAACAAGGACAGCGATCCCTACGACTGTTTTTGAATCCGCCATGGATATAGCTTCTGCTACTACCGCAACTGCTTCTTCTCCTCTGCTTCTGCTGCTGCTGCTGCAGCTGCTGCTGCTGTTGATACGCCAACCCAAATGTTGAAATGCTGAACCAACAACTCCCCTAACTTCCTCTGGTCACCACGATAGCTGCGCTGCCAACGACGACTGACTACCACCACAACGACAGCAAGAACAAAAGCAAGAACAGCAACACCAGAAAGACCGCAACCACCACAAGCAGAAAGACCACAACCACCACAAGCACAAACCACCACCACCACCACCACCACCACCAACACCACCACCACCACCAACAACAACACCAACACCAACACCAACACCAACACCAAACACCAACACCACCACCAGCAGCAACAGCAACAGCAACAGCAACAGCAACAGCAACAGCAACAGCAACAGCAACAGCCAGCAGCCAGCAGCAGCAGCAGCAGCAGCAGCATCAGCAGCAGCAGCAGCAGCAGCAATAGCAGCCGCAAAGACAACGCACAACGGACAACAAACAACGGCCAACAACAAACTCAAGCAACCAAGCAACCAAGAAAGCAAGCAACCCACCAACCCACCGACCAGACAGCCAGCCAACCAACCAACCAGCCAACCAACCAACCAAACAAACGCTCAAACAAACGCACAAACAACCACAGAAACAACAACACGAACAAACACACAAGCAAACACGAAAACATACACCAACAAACACGCAAACAACACACTACTCACACAAACACACACACACACACCAACCAACAACGACACCAACACCACCATTACGACGACGACCACCACCACCACCAACAACAACAACAACAGTCAAAGCAACAGCAACAGCAACAGCACCAACGAAGACAGCGGCAGCAGCAGCAGCAGCAGCACCAACAGCAACAGCAAAAGCAACAGCAGAAGCAGCAACAATTGCAACAGTAACAGCAACAGCAGCAGCAGCAACAACAACAACAACAACACCGACACCAACAGCAACTGCAACAACAACACAGCAACAACAACGACGACCACGGCAATGACAACGACAATGGCAACGACAACGACAACCGCAACAACAACGACTACAACAACAACAGCAACAGCAGCAACAGCAAAAGCAACAGCAACGGCAACAGCAACAACAACAACAACAACACCAACACCAACAGCAGCAACAGCAACAGCAACAGCAGCAGCAGCAGCAGCAGCAGCAGCAGCAGCACGAGCACCAGCACCACCACCACTAACAACAATTTTTTCAATTGAACGCTGCGCGAGCGTGCTCTGCGCATAGCGGGCGCTGGACTTAGCAGACACTCGGTGAAACTGTTAAGACATGTCCGAACTTGCTACCCACCAGTAGCTCTTGACAAATGGCACTGCTTAGAATAGCTAGAGCTAAGCCTTCACTGGTAAGAAACATGAGGCGCTGACGGATGTACAACCTCCGACAC